ATAAATGAATACATATATGTACATGTGTACACTGGTATGTCTTTCAAGACATACACATGTACATAATTTAACAATATTTTCACCCTACTAGTATTTATATATATATATAAGATTTAACTCCTATCTCCCTTTAAAATGGTTCCAATTTTTTCAACCTCAGATAAAAATAAATTGATATTCCTCAAAGCTTTACTACATGCAATACCATTAAAAAATATATAAAATAATGTAAGAAAAAATGCGATGAGAGATTTTTAAGATCAATAGTAACCAGAAAAAAAATTTACAGAAGACAAATATCAATCATCTTCTGCAAAGTGACACTCAAACCAATTTTACATTAAATCTGTCAGATTTTGCACATCACTCTCGTACTCTCGTATCACACAAACCAAGATGAATATGAAGTGCCTTCCACTTACATCACTCATGTTCCATGAAATCTGTTCAATTAGGCCATTTCAAACAACAGTAGACACAGACAGATGTACATACAGTGTCCCCGTAGATGCACATAGATGTCCCTAAATATAGATTTACTGACACTGGTTGCTTTTCAATAGCAAATTCATGAAAAAAAAAAAAATAAAAAAAAAAAATTTACATTTTTGAATGAGACACACACACAGCATTCACATCAAAGAGTTTTTAAATCATTTTTGTTTTTTTTAAGGTTTGTTCATATTTCGTGTGTATGTATGTGTGAAAAGAAAAAGTCTATTGCATATGGATCCAAATTTTGGGACACACTAATAGCCAGCTTTAAAAACAGAGAGAGAGAACTGGTTTTTTTTTGTTTTACTTTTTCATAAAGATTTCAGTGAACTAATGACCTGTGCCCAAGTACAACTGTCATAAAAATGTGCATATCTTGTTTTAGTTTTCATATGGGCAAAGTGAAATTTATATAAAAAAACAAAAAAAACAAAACAAACATGCAATGTTGCACACTCACATAAACGCACAAAAATTGTGTGTGTGTGTGTGTATATATTTTTTCTTATTACTATCCTGTTTTTAGTGGGTACATGGTGTTAGAGTTGACATCCCTGTTATTTTAAATAGTAAAATTAATGTCAACTGGTTTACACATAGAGAAGTCCTTACTAAAGAAAAAGGTGCTATCTGACAGAAATCAAACCTGTATTTCCTTTTTCCCCCCTCAGGGAAACCACTCCTTAAGCTGAAGTGTGCCCTACCAATTAGGCCGTGAGAAACTGTGATAAGACAGAACTCAATTGCCTTATCATGTTTAAATAATGAGCTTTTCACAAAGTTTGAAAACTACTAAATTGCTAATTCTTTTAAATTTGCAGAAACTCTGCTAGCAACATATACCAGAATATTGAATTATACTTCCCAACACAAAGTCATATTATGCAGAAAATGATTTTCAGATTCAATTGTTTTTTTCTACTTAAAAAAAAAAAAAAAAATTACCAAAACTTGCTGCATTGACTTAAAATAGTTTTAATTTGTTTTTTAGCTACTTTCTCATTTCAACTTTGATAAATACTGTAATAAAAAAAAACATTAAGATTCATGAAAATTAGTGAAAAATGAATAATAAAGCAGTTATCTAATTTTAAAATTGTAAAAAACACTTAAGATCTGCATTTAAATAAACTGAGCAGTTCATTTTTCTTGAAAAAGTACTGTGTATGTATAATTTCAAAGAGTAAATACAAAATTTAAAATATGTCAATTGAAAAGTAATAAAATGACTGGGTATTATTCCAAAATAGGTGAACAATAAGCCCAATATAAATTCAATCTATAATATAAAGTTACAAACTCTCAGTGCATCAACATGAAAAAGGTACAAATCAGTTTTTCATTTGAATCTGTTTTTAGTTTTTAAATGCAAGAAAAAATTGGCAAAGCACATCAAGCCAAAAAAAAAAAAAAAAAGTTGCCAGAAATATAATTTCTGATTGAAATTTCAGCTTTTGAAATGTTTTACTTCCTCTAATTCCATATGTAATCAATTTTGATTTTCAAGCAATTGAATTTAATAACAAAATCAGATTAAATATTTCATAGCAATCTTATTCATTTTCATTTGACAAAATCAAAACAAAAAAAAGATCATAATTTTAATAATAATGATCACTTGAATTAATTTATTTACATCAAGTGATAAAAATATATAATTCTTTCAGTTTTCTAAGAATACACTATTTCATGTGACAATTTTGATTGCATAAATTTTTCACCAAGAATTTTAATTTTAAAAATTCTTATTAATTTTTTCATCAATAACTATAAATGAAAGAGGTTATTGCAAGATTGATTAGGTTTTATTATTTATTCTTTTTTTGTTAAATGATGATAATATAATTATTTTATGATCTTTATCTTTTTTTTTTATCAAATAGAATCAATAAAGTTTTAATTATTTTTTAAAATGCCAAATGAACAAGAGCAGGACTGAAATACTCAGTCAGACCATAGTAGCCAGGCCATCATAAACAAGACTAAGGCATTCATAACAGATTGAAAACATCTGGATACTAAGATCTGTTGGTAGTTTCAAAATCCACAAGTGATATTTACAGAGGATTATATATGTTGACAGTCATGCATATTTAAAAATAAAACTTTATTTTTAGTCAATGAAAATTTGAAGTGAAGTTGCAAAGTACTTTACAGAAGAAAAATAAAGACTAACAAAGAAATGAAACCAGAAGACATTCTCAGTAAAAGTTTAGTCACAGTTCAAAAATGAAGTTTTTAACTGCAATGAAACAAATCTCTTTAAAGTAACTTATATACGAGCTGATGCTACAAAGTTCTCAACCCATAACCCCACTCGCCAAAATCAGTCTTCTGATGTTTGGCCATTGAAATACTGATTTTGTGAAGTAGGTTGAGGCCAAGAACCTTTCAGCAATCACTTTGTATTGTTATGAGAGTTTGATAAAACCAGATGACAACTTAGTTTTTTTTAATTGGTCTGATCAAATGTTATCCATCTATTAACCTAGTAATATCAGGCCAAGTGTCCAATATTGTATCTGAATGAGAAATAAAGCTTCATTTATGACAATTTGATGTCAGGATAGCAATTTTCAAGGCAGTTCAGTTCACCAATATATTTTTACTATTCATTCAACAATAATACTTAATATGGACAAAGCTCAAATTATACACATTGTTTAGATATGTAACTCTTATCTTCTCTACATCAGTTTTTGATAAGCTGCACTCAAAAGCCAAATCAGCACAATGTAAAATGCTGTAGTTGGTCTTCTGTCAGCAACCCTCCATAACACAAACATTGGTATATAATGTAAGCTCTATGAAATTTTATACAAAGGATATATCAGTTTGTTTTCTTATTTTATACCTTTCAGTTCATGGTATTTATGATTTATACACACCTGAGACATTACTTTTTTTTTTAATATTCCCTGTGAACTAAAATGAAAAAAAAATACTTCCATAGAGTCTTACTCAGATTTATATTTTTTTTCATTTTTAATTGAAAAGTAACATTTTCTCAACTACTTTCTAAAATAAGCAAACTTGGACATTTGTGCCCACAAAACAACACTCTGTCAAAAGAATGCTTTTCTCCTTAACATTGTTATTATTTTAACTACTTTCACTCCTTTGCAATGTTTATTGATTTAAAAAGCAAAGATTAGAATTGTAATAAAAGCTAAACATATGATGAAAGTGAATTTATACATTTCTTTTGTTCTTGAGAATTTACAACAAAAATTTTAAACATTATTTATTTGTTAGATTGTTTATTCAAATAGTTGGCAAAACATCAGCTAATTGCCAACTGATCCAAACTTTATAAAATGGTAAATAATAAGGATTTAGTTATAATTGATTCACACATTTTAATAATTTTAATAAATGTTTATAAATTTATGAATAAAAAATAGTTTTCATATTTATTTTTATAAATTGGTAAATGATAAATATTGCTTTGCATTAGTTTTAATTGTATTAGTTTTTAGAATGTTGTAAATATGAATTTATTTTTTATAAATAATCTAATAAATAAATAGTGTTTAATATTTTTTTTTTAATTCTCAAGAACAAAAAAAAAATGTATAAATTCACTTTCATATTTTCAAGCTTTATGACAGTTCTAATCATCACTTTTTGAAATAATAAACTTTGCCGAGGAGTGAAGGTAGTTAAAATAATAGCAGTGTCAAGGAGAAAACTGATCTTTTGACACTCCATTGTTTTGCAGGCACGAAGATCCATGTTTGCCATAAAATGTATCAAATTCAGGTTTAGATGTTGATAATGATGATGATATTAATAATAATAGGTAGCATTATGATTTCTCTATTTATTCAGACTAACAGTCACATCATTGTTGCTGATATAGCTAAAATAGATTTGTTTTGCTTATATTCAAGGACTGAATGTTATGATACACCAGAACATTAACCTATTTAAAAATGATTTTGATAACTTTAATGAAAATAATATTCTCAAATTATTTGTGTTTTTTTTTTGTGTTTTTTTTATAAGAACTTTCTCTCCTATCAATATTACAGGGCACCAATGAAAAGCAGGGAATCATTTGTCAGAATTATATATAAATATTTTAGTGATCTGTTCATTGGTGGCACTAGGAACTGAACGTTTAATTAAATTATCTTTGATCTAATGTTTTAACCACTGAACTCTTCTATGGTACGTAAGAGGAAAAATACTCCACTAATTTTCCTTCCAAAATTGACCGTTTCTCTTTTGGTAGTAATGGAAGATAACAACGAACTGGATTTCGAAAAAATAAACTAAGGTTATCTGATATATCAAAAAATCTTTCCAAAAATGTATTTACTCATAACTTTTAGCCCACTTGTGTGTACACAGACATACAAATTATATATAGATATATACATTCATTATATATAGATATATACATACATGTGTATGTGTTTATGTGAGAAAGAGAGTTAACAGTCTGGGTGTATGTGTTTTGTGTGCGTGTTTGTCTTTTGTGTTGAAGAGAACCTTGTGTTCTAGCTACGCAATGCCTCCAACCGAGCTCGCATGTCATCTTCTTCATCTTCATCATCATCCAAAAGAGGAGAAGCTGATGCAGCTGCTCCAATGACATCAGTCGATGGTAATGAGTCTTTGACAGCAGTAGGCATTTTACCAAGTTCACCTGAATTTGGAGAGTAGAAAGAAATTAATGAAAGTCCATAAGAAATACATGTTATTAATATTCATTGTCAAACAACAATCCTTTTTAACATCTAAAGCAAATAAGATCTTTTATACAACAGATACACAGTATAGAATAAGAAACAAGATAATGAAAACAATGTGTTTAAAACTGAGTCAGGGACAAATACAGAAAATCTTAACAGTTACCAAAATTAAATAGTGATTAGTAAGAACTATATGAAGCAATATAAATATTATGCAATTTCATTCTTATTTTTTGCTATACTTCTTAGCATAATGTTTGGTTGACCGATACCTTCACTGTTGCATTTATGAACAAAACTAGAAATACCCGTGAAAATTTAACAGTTTTCCTATTTTAATTTTCTGATGAATCTTAATTCTTCAGCTAATAAGCTCATGGTGAGTTCTATGACAATAAAATATCCACAGAAGTTCCCCTATTGCATCATTAAATATTTGGGCTTAAAAACTTTAACAAAATATTACAATAACAATCATAAATATGAATGCTGGTCACTATTTTAAGAAGCAAAGTTGTGCAAATGAAAAGATTTGAAATTGACACCTTTTTCCATTTCACTCAAACAGGTGTTAACATTTCTAGCTTCCCTGGATTCATTTTCTCACAGAAACCAAGTAGGGTCTCTGATATGTCTTTTCCACAGGATCAAAATGGAAGAGTCCATTATTTATTAGATACTGGCAGAGTATAATGGTCATGCTAGTTATGGAGGGATGAACAGAATTATAATATTTCAATCAATGTGCTTTTGATGGCTTTCAAAACTCATAATGCTTGACATACAAATCTTTTTATAAAAAGAGCCATTTATAAAGCAGCCATTAAGGCTATAAATGAACCATTAAATCTATAAATTAACAAACAAAATCTAAAGCCTCTACAAAGTTGATGGCTTCAAAAAAAAAAAAATCGAGGCATCCAATATATTTATCTTATAGAAAGCTCAATTGTCAAACTCTGATGCTAGAATCAAATCATATTGGGTTGGTGCATAATTATCAGGCGTTTTTAAACAATATTTCTTATGAAAAAAGCAATATAACAATAACATTTCTAAATGATTATTCCAGAGCATATGATTATCGACATGCATTTCTTGCTGTTTTGTTTATTTTTTAATAAAAATATTATTTTATTTTCAGGTTATAAAAATTTATAAAAATTGCTGTTTTGTTTATTTTTTAATAAAAATATTATTTTATTTTCAGGTTATAAAAATTTATAACCTGAAAAAAAAATAATATTTTATTAAAAAAAAAAATAAACAAAACAGCAATTTTTTATTAACAAATAACTCACCTACAAAAACGCCTGATAATTATGCACCAACCCAATATTTTGGTGTGGTATTAGGTCAGTCAGTTATGTGACATGCATAATACACACTTAGGCAATCATGTATCTTTTGATACATGACTGATGAGGCAGATTTTTTCACCACAGATTTTTTCCATCCAAGGTTATAGAACCAGGTTATAGAACCTGGTCTGTCCTGCTATTTACTTATAGCTTTGGTGAGAAGAGCATACCTTTCCCAAGGGTATTAGAACATAACTGAATTCGAACTCGGCTCTCTGATTCCTCAATCTGAGCTACTATCCATTACTCCATGATGCCTCTTGTGATATTAGGTACTGATTTTTATTAGCAAGAGCATTTTTATGTGTATTAATATCTTAATCTCCAACTTTTATACATTCTTAAAATATTTTCTGCGTCTCAAACAACTTATGTAGCTTCCCTGTGCCTTTTCTATAAATACTTTCATAGTAATTGTTCTGAACTTTTCTCTATAGTACCTAGACTTTATGAATTTAAGTGCAGTACTAGATTGGCAGCAAGGTTTCATCATTGTACAATTGTAATAACTGTAAGCTCTATGCTAACAGTTTTTTCTATCACACTTCCCACTTGTGGAACTCTCTTCCAGGTTCTTGCTTTCCAGTCAACTTTGATCTTCAAAAATTTAAATGCAATGCCAATAATTATCTTCCGTTCTCTTAATTCCTATTTTTTTTATAGTTCTCTCCTTAATAATGTTTCTTTTTCTCATATTCACTCACACTCAGTAACCCCCTTAAGTCTGAGTGGCTTTATTGCCTTGATTGGGGTGAAATGATTAAAAAAAATAATGATTTTTTTTTTTTTTTTTTTACAGCTACCTTGTAGAACTAAAGCTAAAATAAAGTCCAGACAACATAAATCAAAACTCAGCATGGCATATTTGTTGACATACAATACTCCCAGCCTGAAGCTGCCCTATCAGGTAGTATTTAAGTTAGCTCCTGCAAAGGGCTCTTGATTAAGCCTTCATCATAATAGGTTGGTTGGTTGTTTTATGGCATATCAACCTCAGTGGGTCATTTAATGCCAACAAAATTTTGAAATAGATTCATAGCAATAATTTAGTAAAAAAGGTGGCTATGTATACATATATATTTAAATCATTTTTTTGAGTACAATCCAATTTCTTTTAGGAAATTTACAGTCTTTGATGGTTTTATTTTCGTAAAAAGTTTTTAAAAAACCATCCAAGATTGTAAATTTCCTAAAAGAAGTTGGATTGTACTAAAAAAAAATGGTTCAAATATATATGTATATATACACACCTTTTTTTACCAAATTATCGCTATTACTCACTTGGTAATATTTTGTTTGCACTAGATCAAAATCTACACACTCTAACAGTAAATTTCTCTTAGCATGTAGCGCATATTGGGGATTCTGTGCCCTCTAGTTTGGTTTGGTTTGTTTTACGGCATGTCAACCTCAATGGGATATTTAATGTAGACAAAATTTTTATTTCTGGTAATATTTTTTCTTCAAAAATGTATAGCTGGTAATATCTTTTTTTTTCAAAAATGTATTGCTGGTAATAATTTTTTTTTGTTTTTTTACAAAGTATTCCCAGTATTAAAACCTATTTTTACACTTTCATAATGTTTTCAGCAAGGGTTGTGGGGTAACTATTTGTCCATAGTTGGGACCCTAACAGGTGCTACCACCCAGGTCAGAGTGAACCTGGGAACATCAGCAATTAACAGGTGGTTCCACACTCCTCAAAACCACCTAATCAGAGGCCTTGCTGTTGGACATAGTTTATCATCTTACCCAGGATACGGATGTAGTTTATCGTCATACCCAGGACAGATCACAATAAGTAGGGAGGAGTAGATGTGATAGGCAACAGAAGAACTCAAAATTGATTAATACATTTATGTATTGCATTAATATTTAAGCTTACCTTTTAAAAATTCAATGATAATCCTTCTGCAGCCACTTAATTTAAAGACAATTTAATGTACATGTGCCCTTACTTTCCGTACAAACAATTATTTTTATTTCATGGGTGACTTTCGCTGGATTTCACAATTAATACCAATTATTTCCAAGTTATAAAAATTGTCGCAAAAAATCACATTAAAAAAAAAAAAAAAAATTGTAAAAACAATCGCAGTAATGAAAACGTAGAAATCCAAAATTTCAGGATTGCAAGTCCAGATCCGGCCCAGAATGTTTTTAATTTGCTCACAAAGTTGGCCTGATTCCAAAATGGTATGATATGTTGGGCTATGGCCTCTAGGAGTAAAGTTGAAGACATGGACAATTTTATTTTGAAACACTGTAACTTGAGAACAATAATTTTTTCATTTGAACATGAGCTACTTAAAGTTAAAGAGTTGCTTCCCTTTAATTGTTTTTATCAGTAGAAGCCAAGATGGCAAAATCTGAAAACAATCACATTAATGAAAACTTGGGAATCCAAAATTTCAGAATTGCCTGGAATATTTTTAATTTCCTCACAGAGTTGGCCTGATTTCAAAATGGTATGATATGTTGGGCTATGGCTTCTAGGAGTAAAGTTGAAAAAGTGTGACAGTGACACACTGACATTTAAATTTATTATATAGATTAGAGTATTTTGAAGTTAGATTAGGTACAAGTACTGGTAATTTACAGCATCTATGTAAATATTAACCTATCAAACATCACAAATTTGCAGTATGAAACAAAGGAGATATTTTTGAGCAACTCTCTTCTTTTTAAAAAATGGTTCTTAGATATGATCAAATATGAAATACATGTACATCTATCGGCCTAGTGAAAAAATCATTTTACACAAATATTTTTTAACATAATCCCATCTTTGTTAATGCACTTAAATCAAGGGTTAATATGAATTACATAGCTCAGACAATTACATAGATCTACAGATCAAAATTCAATAACTCATCAACCTATGAACTATGATCCCTTCTGATAGGTGCTGTTGTACAGACTTTCAAAGACAATATTCTTGCTTAGACAGACTGACAGACATCAAAATACCAAAATAGGTGAAATCAGTTTTAGGGGTTAACTGTGAAGTGGGGGGGGAATACTTTTGTGATAGAATTTCATCTAACTAGTATTTAAAGTTAAATAAAGATTTAAATAAATGATTTAAGAGGAAAAGTTCAGTTTGATTTCCTTTGTCCTTTACAATATAGACGCTATCAGCTTAAATATATTAATTGATAAACATTCATCTATTAGGAGTGTGCATACACACCTTTTGCACACACCTAATATTATCCTCAGATCTACACTGTTCCCAATCTTCATTAATGACCTCCCCAATGTCATCAATTCCCAACTAGGTATTTATGCAGATGGCACAACTATTTACTCCTATCTTAGTAGCAAGTTCAACAAACCCAACAAAGTAAAACTGGCAACTGCTCTCGAAAAGGATCTCCAACTGGATCAAAAAATGGCTTGTAAATTTTAATGCCTCCAAACAAAACTGCTATCATCACAGAGAATCTTTACTGCCTGCCATCAGCATGGCTGATGCTAGACTCCAGGAAAGCAACACTATGCCTTCTTGGGATCACATTTCCACTGGGATGAAGTGGAGTAACTATATTGAATCAATTGCTATATCTAATGCTAGGAAAGTTAATTCACTGTGGCATGCCAGAAAAATTCTCATCAGAATTCATCTTGCACATTTATAAATTTACTATTCATTGAATACTGTCATCATATCTGGTCTGGTGCTCTTGCTATACATCTCTAGATTCTTGATAAAATTCAAAGAAGGGTCTGTAATGTAATCTGTCTTGATCTGGCATCTCAACGTTAGTTACTTTCTCACCAACATGACACATTGCTGCCATATCTGGTCTGGGTAAAACAATAAAAAAAAAAAAATAATTAAATACTCATTATATGTGTGGTGGGGAGTTAAAATAAAATAAGAAAAAAGAATTTTAAATTCTCACCTGCCGTTAAATCAAACAAAATTTTATCTACTTCTTCTTGGGCTTCATCTTCAAGTTCATCCTGATCTTCAAATCCTTCCATTGTGTCTTCCAGCATCTCTTCAATAATTCCAGCCTGAAAATACCAGAGTTGATATCTTGATACAAGACAATTATAATACTTTACATGTATTGATTTATTACTGTAATACAATGTATGTGCAAGTGCTGAAAAGTTCTTGCTCCAACCAAGGAGTTAAAAAAAATCTGATTAAATTTTGGGAAGCAGATCAGACCAAAAGCCTTTTAGCACCTATTCACATCACAAAACTCTGTTATATTAATAGGCTAAATATCAATGACATGCAGAGGTTTGGTAATATTTAGTGATGCCCGGGGCCCAACTCCTTGATTGTATGCCCCTAAAACTCAAGTAGAGGAGCTTATAAAGCCTAGTACTGAGAAATATGAGAAAGGAAGACATTTTAACTATGTAAAAAACAGATGAAAAATGAAATAAACACTTTATTCAAATTAAATATAAACTCGATTTTTATTTCATTCTCTGCATGGATGCCCTGCTAAACCCACTGCTCCCATTCTGCACTCTACTGCTAAGGATATTTGAGATTTTAAATGTACTTACTTATAACGTCAATGCTATTTAAGTGAATACTGAATTTGTGCAAGAGAAAGAATAATGAAATTTTAACTACAATTCAATCTTTTTCACTAATTACATCATTCAAACTGTTGTCCTCATCTTTACTGTCATATTCACATTTCATCCGTTGTACAGTCAGGCATTCTTCAAGTGATATACATTGGAATTTCGAACTGAACCCTTTATTTCATCCACTGGTGTAGATGTCTTTTCTGGATAGCTGGCAGGGCACATGGAAATAGAACAATCTACCCCTGGATCGTAATACCAGTTCTCCTATATGGCAGTGAATGCTGGACTATCTGCTCATGGATGAAGAAGCTTGAAGTAACTGAAGAAATATGGTAGTACAGAAGGATGCTGAGAATACCATGGACTGAACATGTGAGCAACAACATAGTTTTAGAGAAAATGGAAAAAAACCTTACCCTTAACATCAGAAAGAGACAGTTGACATTTCTAGGGCATATAATAAGGAAAGAGGGCTTGGAAATTTTGATAATCCTAGGACAGATTGAAGGCAAGAGGGACAAGAAAACAATGCATAACCTACCTAGAGAGGTTGATTAAATGGATGGCAGAGAAAGGTTTAGGAGAGAAAAAAAAATTTATTAAAAGCTACAAAAGACAGGAAATTGTGGAGAGCCATGATCTGCAACATCCTGAAGGGACACAACATATAGAAGAATAACTAAGTACAAAGCCCAACAATAAGTTTAATGCTATGATGGAATGGAATTGTATTAAAGAAAAATTTAGAATATTTCATTGTAAGTTTATTAAAGTAAAAACTAAGAACAATATATGAAAAAAGCAGCAATACCATTTAAATAAAAAAAAACTTAAGTTTATTATGTAAATGTAAAATCAAAAAATCCAAAGTTGAAATTTAAAAATACCAATGTTTGTTTTCAAAAATGCTTTGTCTTTTCAAGACATACAATCATAGCCTTCCACAGATCCTTTTTCTTTATTATCTGTGAATTGTTTTGACTTCTTGGAAAAGTTAGTGAAATGGTTTCCCCATTACCTTCTGCATGTTTTTGAATTCATGGTAGTCTTTCTCTTATACTGGCTAATAACAAAGGCTAGAGAACCCAGTCTAACCCATTATTTAACCCATAATTGGTGGGGAGATGACATGAATTTGTGCCTTTTGCAAGGCATTAAAGTGTGAAAGTAAATGCAACAAACTAAGATAGAATTTGAACTTGGCTCACCAATTCAAATTTCCACACCGATATCCGTTACAGTATCAACACATTCAGCACCAATATTAATTTTCAAAAATAATTTATGTGATTATAATTAAAATGAGATCAAAGTAATTTTTATGGTGTTCATTCAATTTTTTTTTTAATAAAAAAAAATGAATCAATCTGTTAAAAATCTTGCATCTTTATTCTAGGAGGATAAAATCAAAGTTGACCAAGAGAGATTTCATCTATATTTCAAACTCAAGGTCACTAGATACACCCATGTTTAACCTTTATCATTCTATATATGACTTCATTTGTTGTACAAAAAGTTTATCAGGCCACTGAAGGTGACTGATCATTGATCAATAGTGTGCTTGAATTTCATAGTTGTATTGTCATATCCTGCTATGGCAACAGAAAACAACTTTGAGTGAAATTAACAATAAGGATATTGCAATTGAGAAACCTTGAAAAAGAAGTGGAAAGGGAAGTAATATTAATAATGTAGAGTGCTAAAGGTTAAATATGTAATAGTAAATTGATTAAAATTGCATTTTTGGTATACTATTTTATACTTAAATACAAGTCTATGCATTTTTACAAATGCATTAAGATTTAAAGAAAATGAGTTGGCTGATTATTTAATAATCCAGCAATTAGAGAATTTGTAAAATTATGTAATTGCCTATAAGTATCCTGAAAACAGTGAACCATAGAAAAGAAGCAAATAACTCTTTAAATTAATTTTGGAATTGCTTTCATTTTTATTTAAAAATCTCATAAAATAAATTACATCAGCTGTAGTTTAAAGTGACCAAAGACAGAGGAAATAGTATAATAAACAGTAAAAGAATAGATATACCTGAAGACAAAACAATTAATATATTTAAATTTTTGACAAGAAATTGAAACAATCTTGAACCTTTGTGCCCACAAAAAAACTGAATGTCAAAATGACATTTTTCTAGGTAACACCACTATTATTTTAACTATGTTTAGTTTTAAAATGTGATGATTAGAATTGTAATAAAACTTAAACCTATGAAAGTGAATTTATACATTTTTTTTCTTGATAATTTACAACAAAAATAATAAACAGTATTTATTAGATTATTTTATTGGAATGGTTGGCAAAACATCAACTAATTGCCATTGATTCAAACTTTATAAAATTGTAAATAATAAAGATTTACTTATAGCTGGATCATACATTTTAATAATTTAGTAAATATTTATAAATTTATAAATAAAAAATTGTTTTCATATTTTTTCCTTATAAATTGGTAAGTGATAAATATCACATTTCATTAGTTTTAAAACAATTGTACTAATTTTTAGAGTGTTGCAAATATAAAATTATTCTTGTAAATAAACAATCTAATAAATAATTAGTGTTTAATATTTTTGTTGTAAATTATCAAGAGCAATAAAAAAATGTATAAATTCACGTTCATCATATGCTTACATTTTATTACAATTTCATGACTTTTAAAAACAATAAACATTGCCACGGAGTGAAAGTAGTAATTAAAATAATATCAGTCTCAAGGGAAAAGCTGTCCTTTTAATATTCTGTTTCTTTTGCAGGTACGCCAAAAAAATTTTATTATTAATTGAGCTAAATTGCAGAATGCATAAGTTAATAAATAAATTTATTTCAAAATTTTACAAAAGTAGCTAAAGTTACCAAAACTTATACATTCTGCAATTTAGCTTAATTAATAATAAATTTCTTTTCAAAAGTTAAAATTCCATCATTAAGGTTATGATTTTTTTTGTAACCCTATGTTCCTATGTTATAAATTGATGAAAATATGTTCAAAAGTAATGAAAAAGGGATTAATTTGTTTTGGGTCTTGAAAATTTGATTTTATCATATATGCAACAAGGTTAAAAAAAAAAAAAAAAAAAAAAAAAAAAAAAAAAAAATATTTCAGAAGCTTTATTCAATTTGCTAATGATGTAATTGGATAGCATTTTTTAATGCATATAACAGTTTATAGCCATAACATAACACACAAAATTACAAATAAACCAGTTCTTGAAGGCACCAAAAAGTCATAGTACTACTATATGATTTTAGAAATTTTGTGTTGGGGGTTACATTGTTTTTAAAATAAACTGAATTAAACACTTCTTAATTATTTTTTAATAAAAGTTCATCAAATTATCATGCAAGAAATCAATTATTTTGCAAAAAGTCATAATCCTAATGTGCATGTTTCATACACTGATAAAGAATTATTGAATAGTAGAAATAGGTTACTCAGTATTCACTGAATAACTTAATGTTTTAAGCAATATTTTTAATGACATGTGTTAACTTAGCCAGCTGTCACTACTACATTTCCTTTTTCTTCTCTTTTTTTTTTTTAACATTGTGCATAGATAATAAATTGAATTAAATGAGCAAGTAAATTTTCATTTACAAATTCAGCAGTTAAAACAAGAAAAATAAAAAAGGAGAACTAGAAGCTTCCCACCTTCATCATTTCTTTGGACATTTCCATCATTGTTGATTGTATTTCAGGTATCTTTATCAACGAATGCATACTCTTCATCACATCTGCACTTTTCTCCAAGGCCCCAGCAAGACGTAGTGTTGCTGTAAGTACATTATTATGTCATGCTATTATATTAGACAAATATTAAATTCTTTAAAATATTACCAACTCTTAGTGGGGGGAATCAATGTACTGTTGAAATTCTAAGAACAATATTTTTCAAATAAGTAAGAAAAATAAGGTGCCGAACAGAACTGAAAAGACAAGGTGCAAGAGCAGATAACTCTTGCAATCGGTTTTAATAAAAGAAATGTCAGAAGTTGTAGTAATTACTCAGATTTTATTATCCAAAAAAAAATGCTGTAATTAAAACAAGCAAAGACAAAGTCTCATTCAAATAATCCATGGAATGAAAATTAAGATATTCAATTAATTTCCTGACACAAGGACTTTTAAAACAATAAGGGATTTTTTTTTAAATTTTATAGCCATAAGATATTGTTGATTTAACATCTACCATCATAAATTATATACCACTTTGTTTTCAAGTATGACCATCACAAGATATCACTGTAAGACCTAGTTGTGTTTTGAACAGACTTGGCTCTTTAAATTGGATAAACTTTTAAAACCCATGGCACAAAATTGGCAGGCATGAAAGACATTGTCATTAGGTCTATTTTGTAACTGATTGCATGACTTTTCAGCCAGCAGCTGACTTGCAAATTTTTCCACAAACATGACATGAATTTTCAGTACTTAATGCCATTCTGTAGCTGGTCAGTGCTCATAATTTTCATGCTTTACTCAAGCAAAGCCTATAATAAATATTGCAAGTTAGGTCATGTGTGTCACCTATATAGTCTGGAAGTTCTACATGAAGACCTTTTTGAACATTTCTTTTTAGTTTTTTCCTTTGTAATCTGAGAATCCTAAAAAGCAACCTTTCCATCATAAAAACTTCCACCAGGTAGTACAATCACCTGCATGAAACATTTGTCACATGTATCAATGTTTGCAGATGCAGTGATTCTTTATAACTTTATAATGTGGAACTAGAACAGTCTACCCCAGTGATCGAAATAAAGGGTACAGTTCGAAATTCCAACCACCTGAAGAAGGCCGGAGTGTACAAAGGCCGAAATGTTGTGACAAATATGGCGACAAAAATGAGGACAATAGTCCGACTAATGTAAATACTGTACATAATAACTCATCTCCGAAATATAGACAGACTTTATAATGCTTCTTTGACATGGGCTGTTCACTTTCTATTAGTAAGCCCTCCGTACAATAACTGTTTTGGAATACAGTTGTTGTTCATGCAAGCAACATGATCACTGCAATGCAACTTATATTTCATGTTACCCTTATTAAACAGTTACAAACAGCCTAATGTAATAATGTCCATTTACTTACACTTTATCAACAATCACACAATAACAGTACAATAATATATGATAATAGTACATTTCCATTGCTGTGAATGCAGTCATAACTCCATGTTTACATTTTCTCAACTGAGCTTGTATGGATACAAGTTCATTTCATTGATATGAAATTATTCTTTGAATAGGCAATTTATTATGAAGTTATGCTAGTAATATATAAGGTAGAAATGGTTTCATTATCAGTTTATTTGATAATGTGAAACTTTTCATGTTATGTTATTGGTTATCACACAGAGGCTGATGTTAGCCTACCGACAAACATCACTCAGAATTTAAGGTTTCTTTTTTAGAATTGTAATATAAGACGACCCACAATTTTAGGGCGGATTTTTTGTGCTTTAAAGGTCGTCTAATACGCGGAAATATACGATATATATGACTTTTCACAGCTGTTTAAATCAAGTTGTCTCCCTTTAATTCTTTGATACTCAATGGGGGGTATATCAGATATAAATTTTCTCTGTAGCTAATTAGTTTAAAAACCATCATAAAAAAGAATTTTTAGTACACGTTTGACTGGTTAGTTGTCAATATAACCAATATTGAATAGGAACATTATCTTATATTTCAGATAAGTATCTTTAAATCTACCAGCTTTTATGGTTTTAAAATAATTTGTAGCAAAATAGAATATATGAAAAAGAATAAATGTATACATACAAAGTTGATGTTTCATGCTCATTTGGACAGAATTTAGTTCTGCTTTGGCAGCATATAATTTACTGATGGCCTTTTTTGAGTGAATCAATTCCTTGGCAAGAATCACACAAGCCTCTTTCTCTCCTTTCTTAGCAGAATCTTTCAAAGCTCTCTTGGTTTTTTCTTCTTCTCTCTGAATAGCTACAAAGACAAAAATACGAAGGCTCATTTTAAAGATATTGTTGAGTAAACATTTTCCAATCATAAATATTGAACGTAAATTCCATCAAAATATGAAACACAGAAATAGTTCTAAAATAACTAGAATCTGATGTGGGTGTGCCATTTTACACTTAAATGCACAGATACTACACTGTTTCTAGGGCAAAATTGCCAAGAAGCAACACTATGACCATAATATTTATTTCTAATACAGAAATTTAGCATAAGGTCAGAAAAAAAACAGGGTGAGCTGCTCATATACTGTCTACCCAAAATCTTAAGTCAGAAAGCAAATGTTTTAATAACTTAGCCATGTGTCCATATATAGTAAATCCATTAAAAATAACTTTTGAAGTAATAAGTGTCAGATTAAAAATAAACCCATTAATTTTTTAGAAATTGCTTTGCTTGTGTTTCAGATAAAAAACTGAACAGATATGGCCTTTCAACGATAAATGAACAAGGAAATGTGCATTGCTTAAAAGGGTGAATAAAACCTTGTTGAGCTGACACTGTCCTCTGTGGCTGAGCAGGCTGGATCAAATTGTGGTTTCTCCTACAAAGAGGATGCAGGTTCGAACTCTGCCAGAGAGTTCATGTTTTTCATTATTTTCTAAAGTGCACAGGCTAATAGACGTAATACACAATTTAAAACAAAAATGGAGTATCTATTTCAAACACTAAAAATAATGTTTATATATATATATATATATATATATATATATATATATAGTGTATTGGGGCAGCAGATCATTATTCAAACATATAGTTAAATATAACAGACAAAGAATGTCTATTATGTTTAATCATGAGCCATTCTAAGCTTCGTATAGAGGCTTTAGTTTCACAAGAAAATAAAGACAAAAACTGTCCAACATTTGGATATGTTTTATTATTATTACAAATTTATGTTCTGCATCTGCTATTCCACAACAGTTAGCATTGCATAGCAAACTTCTATGTAAACATAACATGATGTCATCTTTGATAATGAACTTCTCTGTTGTAATGTCCATATAACCAATCTGATGATGGCTCATGTGAGCTGAAAGGTTAGATCGAGGAATAAATTAATAAAAAATATCCAAATGTTGGACAGTTTTTGTCTTTATTTTCTCCTGAAACTAAAGCCACTGTACAAAGCTTAGAACAGCTCATGATCAAACATAATAGACATTCACTGTCTGTTATATATATATATATATATATATATATATATATACACACACACATTACACACACACTAATCTCTCATGAATCCCATACATTCAAATGATATTCTTTCTATCTATCCCATTTGTCCATCAACTGCTACCAATTCTTTATACACTATTTACCTTTTTTTATCTGCCGTGTTCTTTCAAGATGTAAGCGATCATAGCTCCCCACATCTTCCTGTCCCTTGTAGTTCTTAAAAAGTTTTGTCTTCTTGTTATTTCTCCCAAAACCTGTTCTACCATCCATTTGCTCAAGCTCATCAAGTATTTACATCCTGTTTTCCTCTATCCCACTTTCCCTGCCATCTGTCCTGTGAGTATCAGGTTTTCCAAGTCCACCTTCCTCATATGTCCCGGAAATTTTCAACTACCTCACCAGGTTTACTACAAATGGGTGTGGAGCTGGGTAAAAACAGTTGATGAGAGTGAAAGAATCACACAACTAGTTGTATTTTACCAGGCTGTTCAGTTCCTGAGAAAGAATTCCCAGGAGCAGGGACTCAACACACAGTTGCTATGAAGGTCACTCCAGATTGGCATATACAAAAATCTCCTAACTTTTACCTATTTATCACTGAAATCTTCCTTAGTCTTTGCTTTTCACATCTCATACAGACTTTGAACTGATACTTGAAATATGCAATCAAGTTATTATGAGAGAGTGGATCTCCATGTAGTCCCATGTTTTTCTCAGTACTTCATATGACTATGCTGGCTACTGCCAGTCATGTGAAGATGGTCATGCATTTTCATATTTTTGCATATGAAGCATTTAGTGATGAAGCTTTTGGGCTGTATGTGAACAACCCAGCCCTCCTACAGAGTGTACAGACTTGAGGACAGTGACAGAAAGGATACTCAGCCGTCTCTTCTGGGTCACAGACCCTATAGCATCTGGTTTCACTATCTATTATTCCACTATCCCCATTCTGAATTGTATATTGTTAACTAACATAGCATTCTGTACTAGATTTTGGGTGAGGAAGAACTATAAATTAGAAAGGAAGTTAGTAACAGGGGCCAAAGCTGTCTGCAGGTCCTCTTGCAATAAGCCAAGATGTTGGAATAGCAGGTAGTATCCATTATTATATTCTGATAGCTTTTTTCCAGAGTTTCATGAAATTACTACTCTGAGGAACTTTAAACAGGCTACCCAGCACTCACAGAAAAAAGGAGCTTTCCCTGGCAGGTCTTTATTAAGTTTCTAAAGTACAATGGAGAGAGCCAGTCCCGAGCTTAGGCTGCAGCACACAGACCCCCATATTGGGTTCCTGGACATCATTCAACTCAGGCTTCTAGGCCCACTTGTAATTTACCAGATGTGGCAAACCAAATCCCTCATTGCATTAGTCATCCTCTCCCCCAGAGCACCACTTTGAAGACTTAATACATCACTTAAACATAAAATATGTTATAGTATTCTGTCTAATATTTATCTAACATTTACTCTTAATTATAAATCAAAGAAACTGAACTCAAAATTATCTTCAAACAAAATATGCAAATATATTTTGGTATACTATGCACAATACACATTCTTCTGAGACAAAACATGAGCAATGAATCAAATCATTCAACTATAGATTAAAACAATAAGAAAACAAATATGATAAATGAGGATTATGCTTTATATAATTATTCTCAAGGATTATAACATGTTTAACTTAAAGTAAGTTTCTATTTTTGGTTTGTCACCAACTTAAACCTGGGAAGAAATTTATGGTAAAACTTGGTAAAAATAAATATTAATAAAGTAAATATGAAGAATTCTTACCTCGAACTTGCCGATCTAAACCATATCCTTCTTTTCTTAGTTTTGAAGTCCAGTCTTGAACCTGTGAAATGAAATGAATTCATAAGGGATTTTTCTTTGTTAAAATTTACAGCTAAGATATTACCAAAAAAAAAAAAAAAAAAGAAAAAGAAATTTGTACACTGGCAAACAAAATACATTTTTTAAACTTCTTATTTCTGTTTGAATTTCTGAGATGAGGAGTCATCATCATTTACACTATTTATATTAGACTACTGTCCACATCTTTTTTTATTGTTATAACAATATTTCGGACATTATGCCCTCCAGACTTTATCAGGTGTATATTGATCTGGATAACCTAGAGGGAACTCTGAACTGAACCCTTTATTTAATCTACAGAATTAGACTGTTCTCTGTCCACTGCTCATGTCTCAGAATATCTTGTCTCGTTCTTGCTTATTTTCAATGAGTCCAAGTACTCAGCCCAAGGATTGAACTACAATAGCCTAGCATTGGTTCATTAATTTGGTCATATAGTGAGTTCAATTCCCAGGCCAGGAACTTGGACTCAGTGGAAACGGGTGAACAATAACTGAGTAGTACTAAAAATAAGAACTAGGCAAGATATCACTAGACATGAGCAGCGGAAGTCTATTGGTTCATGAATATGGTCATATAGTATTCAGAATTCCCTGTAGGTTTTCTTTATTTAATAATGAATATAAAGAAATCAAATAATTATTAGTATTATTATCTTATTGCTGAGATGTTGCAGTTTTTCTGATAACTGAATTACAAAATTTAATTTGGATTGGACTTTCAGAAAACTTGCTATATAAGAAAATCTCGGAATTTTTTTTAGCAGACTGTGCATTTTTATTCCATTTCTAAAAATTTAAAATTATTTTCTTTTAATTCCCTCCGAAGATTAATGTTTACAAAGAAAACTAAATTCCCCAAACCACAAAAAATACTTATTAACCCAACAGTTACAAACATACTAGCATTTTCTTGAAAATACACATTTATATTTTTAAGTTTACAACAGATAAAAATATCAAATAAACTGGGTAATGTAATCCTACATTTTCATACAATTAAGCTTTTCAACAACAGAATTATTTAACAAAATTTTAAATATAAATAGCTATCTTAAATAATAAGAAAATATTTCTGTTAAATATATAATTAGCATATTTTACTTAGGATACAAAATGTTTTAATTCATACAACTATCTTTATTTTATTTTTTTTTTTTTTTTTTTTACTTCCACATAGAATTTATCTCAACAGTTGAAAGCATTCAGATAAAAAGAACAATAGCAAGAAGTAGAATCCATAGTCTCAAAAATATTATTTCACATTATATACTATTAAACTGTATATAAACCAAGCAGCAAGGTATTTCATAAATAAAGTCCATCATTGTAGAAACCAGAATGTGTCATTTGTAGACTTAGAATAATAAAAGATTTTTCAAATGCATGCAACAAAAAGATAAAAATAGAAGGTAGCTTAGACATTAAAAAATAGAACTTGTTTGAATAAGTGGCCTAATTCAGTATCTTTTAAAGTACAGATAAAGAACTCATTTCTAAGATGTTTTTCATATACTATTAAAATAATATATATTTATCAGAATCTCTTAAATACGCAATTTACAGGGATTTTCTGATTCTATATAATTATTAACGTAACAAACAAGAATTTGTCTCTTATAAGCTTAATCTTGACAACAAAGTTTCATTTTTTTCATCATTCTGAAACTTATCAAGTAAAATTTACCAGAACAAATACCATACACAATATTTGATTTTAATGAGTACAAAAATGCCTTGCATCATCCTGATTGAACATTGGAATAAATCGGCAAGGATATCAGAAAATTACTATATTTTTGGTTGTAGAAAAAGGCTAAAAAAATTTAAAAAAAACACATTAACCTAATTTCTTTAATCATACATTTTTCTTAGCAGTGGGAGTACTATAGTTACTGATATATAAATCTAGGAGATTTCTTCTAAAGAATTCTTCTGATGAGAGTTCATTAATTAACCTCACCTAATCAGTACACAAAAAGTAACCAATTTTTTTATTCTCTAATTCAGTATTATATCCACATCAATAAAAATGAGAAACTTTATTTTTGAATAACAATTACTGTTTTTAGTGGGTACTGCTTTAGGCTTATACAGTGTGACAGAAGTACCTCCCACATTTTAAACTATCACCTGTGTGGTGCTAGTGAACTTAGGCAAGTGGCAATGGTATCTTCAGCTAACTAATGTCTTACTATTCTTTTTTTCAGATACCATCAATTACCATCATGACTTGGACTAGTGCACACAGTGCATTTGCCATTGAAACGTTTTTAAGACTGGTGAATCTGTAATTGCAACAGTGCACTTTTCATGCACATTTCATGTTACATCAAAATGATGCTATTCCAGATAGAAAATCGATACTGTTATGGGTTGATAATTTCAGGGTCACAGGTTCAGCACTTAAAAGAAAACTTTAGAAATTGTCTATAACAGTATATGGCAAATAGAAGCCACCCTTTGGCGAATGTCATTTTTAAAACCAAATCAATAAAAAATATAGCCCTTTTTTAAACAACAGTAAAATAATTTTTTTTAATAGTAATTACGTTGGTCTTTTTGTTAACCTTTAAAATGTGGAAGGTATTTCTGCTATTTCCCTGTATGAATATGTATTCTTAAATGTCTGCAATGAGCATAACAAATATTGCAGTAAAAAAATGTCATAAGAGCTTTATAAAATTTAAATAAAAAAATTCTTTTTCTTATCATTGTTAATGAGATTCAACAGTAAATAAAAGCAAATCCGATAATTTCAGTCCTCATGACATTTTTATATGTACACTAGCAAAAGTAGTTGATCTATAATAATATCAATGTAAAGTAGTCAACATATCTTGGAAGGATTGAAGAAGAATCTACAAGTTTGAATCTGCATTCTAAATTATGAATTACCAAGGTGTTGTAGGGGTAAATAGTACATCCCTGTTGACTATATGAACTAGTCTATTACTATAAAGACCTTCCGGTTTGAGGTAAGACTGATAGCTGTTTGGAGTCAGTATCCAGACTAACTAATACAGGTAACACAACAAATAGCCAAATGATTACATATAGAGAATCCTTATATGAAGTACATTATTTAAGTAAGAGTGTGTTATAACTATAGCCATAGAAGAGTGGCATTATAATAGTGACGATACAGGATTCAAAACTCAGGATTTATAACCATTGTGTTGAGGATTCAGAACTCTTATGACTTATAACCATAGTAATGAGGATTTTGGAAACATATACAAGTTGTAACAGGAGTTACAAGAATTTCAACCATGTTGGATAGAAAAAAAACATTCTTGTGAATATGAAGAAAATTTTGTTTTCCATAGTTGAAATTCAACAACAACAGAAACAGCAACAAAATCAACAGTTGCTAGAACTACAAAAACAGCAACAGGAGTTGTTGGATATAATTTTGAAGAAAACAAAAATTTCTTCAATGTCACTTATGCCAGATGCTGTCCACAGCATCATATTAGAATTTATATACAATCCTGATGAAGGATTGACTTTTTTATTTTCATTTTCATAGATATGAACAAATATTCAGTCAGGAATGCAGCAGCTGGGAAGATGTGGAAAAAATGAGATTGTTGTTGAGGAAAATAGCTCTGATAGAGTATGAAAAATACTGCAATGACATTTTACTGAAAAACAAAAAAAACAGGTGAAATCAGGTTTGAAGACATGGTATGCATTCTGACAAAAATCTTTAGTAACAAGAGCTCTTTGTTTAATGCTTGCTGGAGGTGCTTGAATCTAACCCAAAAAAGAGGACAAAGACATTGTCACAGATGCTGTTATTGTCAATAAAGAATGTGAAAGGTTTAGAATAAAAGAAATGCTTCCAAATATGTTCCAAGGATTAATTTTTTTGCAAGGTTTAACAGCTAAAAAATATGCTGAAATATGAACAAAAATTTTAACAAAAATTGAACAAAACAATAATATTACACTGCAAGGAATAGTGGATGATTGTCAGACAATGCTAAATCTGAAACATGATGCTGAAGAAATTCAGAAAAGAGAATGTGCATCTGTACAAAGGACAAATGGACAAAAAGGAAAATAAATCCTTGTTTCAGATGTGGTAAATTACATCTTGGAAAAGATTGTCCATTTAAAAATGTAGTATGTTACAAGTGTGATAAATAAAGATACTATAAAACAAAACCAAGAAAAAAATTCTCACAGAAAGAAATTAATATACAACATTGCAATAGATAAAATGGTCACAGAAAACAAAAGAAAATTTGTAAATGTGAAAATAAATAATGTGAATGTGAAAATGCTACCAGAAACTGGTAGTGATATTTCAATAATCAGTGAAACCACATAGAAGGAAATGGAAAAGTCTTTATAAAAAAGACTTTCAAATTTTAGTTTCTGGTGAGAAATTCTTTTTGGAGAAATAATTTGCAATGACTTTTTTTTCATAATAAGCATGTAAAAACTAAAGTTTGTGTGTTAAAAAATGCTACAAACTTATTTGGAATGGACTGAATGGAACTATTAGAACTTTGGTATTTGCCAGTAAATGTTTATTGTAAAAAACTAAGAGGAAAAGTGACCAATTTAAAAAGTCAAAATGAAAATCTTGAGGAAGATTTAAAAAAATGTTTTCCAGATGTTCTGTCAAATGAACTGGGTTGGTGTTCAAAATTCAAGGTGGATTTTCAAGTAAAAAAAAGGTTCAACACTTGTATTTAAGCCAAAACAGAGAGTACCATTTGCAGCATTAGAACAAGTTAATGAAGAGTTGGACAGACACAAAAGAATTGGTGTAATAGAAAAATTAAACATTCAAAATGGGCTAAACACATAACTGTTCATTACCAAGTCCAGAAGAAATTTTTTTCAAAGTTGAGCAGTGGAAAAATATTTTCAAAGCTGTATCTCTCTGAAGCATATTTACAAATTCAGATTGAAAATGAATAATGTGAATTAATGATCATAAATATGCACTGAGGATTATATAAGT